AAGCTAAAATTAAAAATAGATATACAATAAGCTAGCTGGTTTAAGTAATTAAATATTACAGTAATATTAGTTTATAACAGTATGAGTTAGTTAAACAGAATATTTAAATAGGTAACTCACAGATAGGTTATAGATATAACAACATAGTATAGTACTAATAGGTAGTCTTATATCTATATAGCAGACTGCTTAAATTAGAAAATAACTAAAATTATATATATAGTTTGTTGTACACTCTTCATATAATTACAAACTATAAGGATTATTTCTTATAGACCAAACTAATAAAAATTACTTAGCAATATAAACTATCTTAAAAAAAAAAAAAAAGATAATTACAAAAAAACTTTGCTATTTGAATATCTAAATCTTTTGCTACTAATTTATTCTTTTTTTTTTTATAAATTAGATTTTAATTTTGTATAAAGATACTTTTAGGAGTTATCTAAATAGAATCAAATTCATATGATTACAACTAATCAAATTATAAAATTTTAATGATCACTAGTAAAGCAAAATAAGAAATAAAAACAAAAATCTAAAAAATACAAAGAACAGTAATCTAAATCTACCTCAAATAGATTAAGTAAAAATTTAAAAAGGTAATTTTACTTATATATAACTAATATAACTCTAATATAGAAAACTCTAACTCTAAAGTTAATCAAAAAAATTATTAAATATGAATTGACTCTACTTTAGATATCTTTATAAAAAAAAATAATTCAATAAATTATCTAATAAAATATTGATCTTTATATTTTATTACTATATTATTATATTTGAATTTACTCACATAATATCTGAAAATTAAATATGATATTAGATTTAAGATAATCAACTCAGACTTAGCTAGCTAAGCTAATTTTTAAATATTAACTTAGTTATATCAATAAATAATAATTAACTACAAATATTATATTATAGATATTTAGTTATAAAGTTATTTAAAAGCAATATTAGAATAAATTATTTTTTCTACTTTTTTTACCTTTTCTACTTTTTTTATTTATTTTTTTATCTTTTTTATTTTTTCTAAAAAACTATATAAATATACTCTTTTTTTTTTACTTCAAATTAAATTCATTTTCTACAATCTCCTTAATATTAGAATTTTTTTTGTATAGAAACTAATAAATAGTCTTATATTATTGATATTATATTATAAATAAAATCTATATACTTACAATACAACTCTTTCTGCTAATTACTAAAACCTAATACAAAGCAATAACAAAAATTCAAAAACAATAATCTAGCAAGAAATATTATTGTATAGTATAAGAAATAAAGCTTATAACTAGTTTGAGTTTAGTATTATACTAATATTACTAGTTTGTAAGTAGTCAATTGAAACAAAGCTACTGACTTTAGCAGGTCTTAATATTTCTTCATTTACTCATAGCTGAAGTAAATACTGAATATAAGCTTTACTAAAACTGCTTAGACTAGGTTAAGATGTACTACTATCTTTTAACTCTAGTTAGAGTTTTTGTACTTACCTTTCTCTAGTTCTTTCTATAACTCAAAAAATATAAGATATCTCTCTACATCAATGTTGAACTCTTTTTGCAAATTTATTTTGTAAAAAGTAAAGATTTGACTACTCCTTGTAAAAGAATTAGCATTCATACTACTAATCTATTTTGGGAAAAGATCATGTAAATAAAATAGATAATCTGTTTTGTTTACAAAATAGATAGCACATATGATAAAGCTAATCACAAATCATAACTAATTTAGATTAATAGTATAATAAACAAATTAATTTAGAGATATAAAATATAGTGTTAGTATTTTATATAATTTTTATGAGTAGAGTAATATTTAGAAAAAATTTATTAGCTTTGCTTATAAATTTTTTCTATCTAAGCCTCTCTTTTTTTTATTTTTCTTTATACTTGTTTTTTCTTTTCTTTTCTTGTTTTTGAGTTTTCCTTAAGCAAGATTAGTTATGACAAGTAGTCATAATGCACTATTAATACACTTCAGTAAAATATTAGAGAATATATGTAGTTTTTATACTCTAGTATAGAGAGAATTATTGGTATAACAGATCATACATAGATACCACTTGATAACTAGATAAGTCACAACTTAGTAAAAAGTATTAGCTTAGGCTTAGGGATTGTAATGTAGAGACTTTCCTATTACTATAATAAAGTTGTAATATGATTGCTAAAAGGTTAAAAAAAATTATAAATAAAATCTAATAATGTATAAGTAATGATTAATATAATATAAACTAAAGGTTATAATTTATCTTATATAAACTATAATAATTTGAAATAAAATCAAATTACTGCTTAAATTATAATAAGTAAAAACTAAAGCTTTATTATTGTTATATTAACTACTCACATATTAGATTTTGTGATTACTTTAATTGGTTAGTAATCATGTTTATTGTTTATATTTATTAACTAATCAAATTGAATGTTCACTATGTTTATTACCAAAGAAAAACCTGTTATTGGACTTTCAATTGTAATTATCAATTTAATATATATTTTAGACCTCTAAAAGTTGTGAAAAGTATTATACTAGGATAAGGATATTAATCAGTCCTGCAGTAATTATCAGCTGACTTTGAGTAAGGTTTATGCAAAATTGGCAATTTAACTAATTTTCATCTGATAAGTAAAGTTATAGAAAGGCTATATCTCTATAACGGTATCTAATAGAAGTTTATAGGTTTTTGCATTGTTTCCGAGTAATTTAGATGGGACCGGTTAGGGACCGATCAACAAAATTCTCTCCACACTGCTCGGTCCCTAATCGGTCCCATCTAAATTACTCGAAAATTAATGCAACAACAGATAAACTTCTATTAGAGACTGTTATAGGGAAATAACTTTTCTATAACTTTACTTATCAGACGAAAATTAGTTAAAAATTCCGATTTTGCATAAACCTTGCTCAAAGTCGGCTGATAATTACTGCGGGACCGATTAACATCCCTATACTGAGGGTAGTATGTGCCGAATGTGGAAGTTATTGATCATCGTCCCTGCACCCGGCCCGATTTTGAGATAGATTGGCTCGGAGATCACGAGACAAACAAATTTTTGTGGCACCACCTTGTTACTGCATCTTTAAACAGATCTAATAGATATTGTAAATCTGTTTCTTTTTTTTCATCAAAATGAAATTACTCAAGAATTATAATTTTGTTTTACGTTTTTTCCTACATAAAAAAAATCCTGTTAATCTTTACTATGCAAAGAATGATATTAAAATTTATAGAGGTATAGGTATGATGAATTCATTGAGAAAAAAATTTTGCCATTGATTTTTTTAAATGCGTTGATATTTATCATAATTGTATGGATTAGTCCGTACAATTTCAAATGGACCTCAAGGACCTGTACCACAAATTCAATTTGATTCACTACCTGTGAATCTAGAGGAACGACGAACAACATACCTTAGTCGTATGCAAAATTATCTCGAATCAAACGATCTCTCATCTGTTATTCAAGAGTTTATAAATTTAAAGAATCAAAACATCATGCCAACTTTAGATATTTATCACATTCTTTTAAAAGCATGTGCAAAATCTTCTGATTTACAAAGTGCTATCCAAATTATAAATCAAATGTATACAGATTCACAACAATCTTCTATACCAACTAAAGAAACATACAAGCATTTTTTGAAAGTAGTTGAAGCATCTTCGGATCACTTACTATCAATAAACGTTTTAAAATCAATTACAAATGGCCAAGTTCCTTTAGATGCTTTAGGTTCCAAAACCCCAAGTTTAGCAGATTTACGACCAATTAATGTGGATATAGATTTAGAATTATGGAAATTAGTATTAAGAGCTATGACCACAACACATAAAATTTATACAACGCAAAAAATGGATTATTTTGATGATGTAAAAGAATTATGTGAGACGTTTATCGAATCATTTAGAGGTCCCTATGACGAAGAAACTTGGAGATTGATCATACGTGTAAGTTTTTTCGTTATCAAATAGTTTTTTTATTATTAATAAAATTAATTCTTATTTCTTCTGGAATTTTTCGGATTTTAGGCGTTAGGATCATACCCTAAAGAAAATGATACATTTAAAATGATGTTACAAAGACTTCAAGATGAACAGTTATTATCTTCGACGTTGTACGCTGATATAATATGGGCTTTATCACGAAAATCAAATATACAACTAGCAAAAACATTTTTAGATCGACTTATTTCAAGATTTAATTATATACCATCACGTGAATCTTTCTATGCAATGCTTTCTTACTATGCGGATTTAGGCAGATTTAAAACTGTTTCAAATTTAATTAACAAGTACGCACCTTTGATTAAAGACCCACAATATTTAGGGACAACGCAACAAAATTCAAGTGATTTATGGGAATTTAACTTTTCAACAGTCTTGATGCAAGCTTATGTTCAAGCACTCTCTAAACATGTTTCGAGCAGAAAGCTAAATGATCAAATTGATGATATTTTGGAAGATTCAATGACCTCAAAAGTACTAAAAACCAAAGAGCAATTGGATTTTTCAAATGATGATGATTTTACGAATAGCTCATTTTATTCTTCATGGAAAGAATTGGTTAACAGCCTTTCAAAACAATCTTTTTCTACTCTAAACCTTGACTCTCCAAAATTTCATCGTGATCATTACGATTTAATAATTAGATTTAATATTTTTGCGAATCAAATTAATCCTAAAGAGTTTCCATTAGATAAAAGTTTAGAAGTGTTAAAAGACATGAGAGGTGAAGGAATGGAACCGACTTTTGAAACATATCGAATTCTTTTAGAAGGGTATGCAAAATCCCCAGAGTTTCAAGCTTTAGATGAAAAATCTGTTGGTTTAAGGGTCGAAAAAGCTTTGGAAATTTTTGATATGATTAAGTTAGCAGGATATGATGTTGATAGTATTCAAGTTTTTCAACCATTATTAGAATCATGTTTACCTCAACTTAATAATAATCAAAAAATTGGTAATTTAACTGAACAGCAAGAAAAGAAAAAAGAATCATATGATGAAAATATTTCGTTACTTCGTAGCTCTCTAACCCCTAAAATCTTTGAAATAGAACAATTAATGAAAAATTTTAAGGTAAAACATACACAAACCTCCACAATTACATTATTTCAACAATTAGCTTCAGTAGGTGACTACAAAAACATGTGGAAACGATGGACTAAACTTTCATTGATGGGATACCGAAGAAATGAGGAATTATATGAAACAATATTAAGATTAGCATCAAGAGATAAAATCGAGTCTGAATATGCTATAAATGTTGTTAGACATCAGATGAAAAGGGAGAATCCAGAGGTTAAGCCTACAATTGGAATTTGGAAAGAATTGATGGAATGTTGTGTAAAATGTGAAGATGGATTGACAATTAAGTATTTAATTAACGATATTAATCAATTTATTCAAGATGGAAATAAATTACGCGAAAAAACAGATGTTAATATTGTGAATAACGTTGGAACTAGTAAAAAATCCAAAGAAGAGGATATCATAAATTTTAAATTACAAATGTTAATTTTAGAGACATGTTTCAAACTACCAGAATTACATAAAGAAGGCGAAAATATGATGAACCAAATTTTAGAGACAAAAAGCAAATTAATCAATTTTGAATTCTGGGAAGTGGTTTTAAATTATTTGGTGAAGAACTTTTTAATTGATAATTCAGATGATTTCAACATTCACCAAACTTGGGAAATGTTTATAGATTGGAGAAATGAACATTTCGGATTTGATAAAGAATTGTCACGTGCATTTTCTGTGTCTTATTCTCCTACTCTCATGGCATCATCAAAACCGTCAAACAAACATTCACCATCATCAACTTTTTTAAATCAATCAT